TCCATCCATCCATCCATCCATCCATCCATCCATCCATCCATCCATCCATCCATCCATCCATCCATCCATCCATCCATCCATCCATCCATCCATCTTCTTAATGCACTTGTCCTCTTTGGGCCATGGGGAGTAGATGCCTATCCTCAGCAGTCACTGTGCTAACAGCAGGTTATGAGTCCATCACAGCATATGGAGACACATTAGAAACAATCATTCACTCTTTCATTCACACTAAGGGACAATTTAGAATTACCAATTAACCTGACATACTGTACGTGTTTTTGGTTTGTGGAAGGAAACCGGGGTACCCGGAGAAAACCCACAGGTGCACAGAGAGAGCATGCAAACTCCACCCAGAAAGGCCCCAGGCCATTATGAGGCCTTCCTGCTGAGAGGCGACAGCTCCAACTGTGCCACAGTACCATCAGTTGTTGGAATATTTTAACTAAAGATTACAGATTACAACTTACATTGTTTGAATCTATGCAATAATCTTTCCTACAAATAACTTTATTTAGATGTTGAAGCCAACAACTTTGGTTTTAGTCAACTCAGTTCACAACAGTTAGATGGGTGGAACTTTATTTTTATAAAACTACTGAGCTGCTCAATACTTCACTTTTTTTGTACAAGTCTGACTGTGTGATTTAATTAAAACAAACATGCTCATATCCCAAAATGCATACGCCAGAATAACGAATGAAAGTTAATATTGAGATGAAGAATCCTAAATATTTCCGTGCACCCTCTCGCTGTCTTCACATCCCCTCCCATCTGTGCGCCCATCTATGTTCTCACAGGATGTGTGCTTCGCTCAGGGGCAGAACTGTATTTTTCTCTCACAGACACAAATGCCAGGCAGGAACTTGGACTTGACCCGTTGTCTTTTGCTAACATTGAGGCAATGCTCCTGCCCAGGGCTGAATTTAAAAAAAAGTACTGCTCAGTGCATGAAGACAGGAGGCCAACTCAGGGGCTGGTGATGTCAGAACATCTGCTAGCGTGGAGAGCGTAAAATGGTCTGACAGGTAGGCCACGATGATGTGAGGTCATGAACTCCAGCTGGGGGAGTTGTGTTGTTCCATTAGCCTCTCAGTTGGGACGAGTCTGAGCCCGAAGAGCAGGGGAGAGGGCTGCTGCAGCTCTGAGGCAATGACTATTGACATCTCGCTGAGGAACAGTCCAGCCAAAGATGTCCTAGTCTATAAAAACAAACACGCATGTTGCTGACAGTCACCGCCTAGATTCATCACTCTGAAAGTATTCAGCCAACAACTTCTAAAACGAAAAAAAAAAAAAAAACCTGGTCTGCACGATTTACAAGTATAAAAACGGAAAACCAATCCCTTTCTTGGATGCTTTCAGAGAATTTAACGGAGTTTAATCAGTAGTAAGTGACAAAGTTAAACACATGCACGTGAGCGAATGACGAGTTTTTCCTGAACTTCCCAAACTACAAGACAAATCGAACTAAAGTGATGTCTGTGTTGCGCAAGACACACAGATGCTGTTGGTGTATTGGAGGCTATCATGAACTGACTCCGGTCCAATCAATTTACGACGGCACGGTCTTCGTGCCCGAAGCCGGGAAGGCAAACAAACAGAGGCTGACCGAGCTCGCTGTTCTCCCCAGCCTGCAACCAGGAACGCTCTGCTTATTTATTCACACGTCTGTTTGTTTATTGAAGGGGAAAGGACAGCTTTTTTCATCGTCGCAGAGAGAAACAAACCAAAAAATAAAAAAATAACTCGGCGTGCACTGTCAGGAACAGAGAAAGTTCTGTCATTAAATCGTTGCCCTCCAAATTGAAAGCGACAAACACAATGTTTACATCTACAGATGTGAGGATGGAGTGGTCGCTGCCCCTCCGCTATCAAGCATGGCTCGACATGGAGCAGATTTCACGTGGCTCCGATTTCAGATTAAAGACGGAAGGGAGAGGGCCTCGTGTCACAGGTCACACCGACTCGCAATGACAAGCCTTTCAAACAGAGATGACATTTCCTCTCATCAGTGTATAGATTTGCCACTCACACGCACGACCTTTGAGCCCTAAAATAAAACATTAACAAGCTGAGGTATGTTTAATGTAAGTGTCGTTTTATTAAGCACACATATGGGAATGTGAGGAATGCTCCACTGGGTTAGTATTATAAGCAAAGCAGCTTTAAATGGTTTATTATTTGATTGTGCCTGCTTGTTTAGACAGATAAGAATATAATTATCTGTAACACCACAGCTACTTCTGTTGCTTGATAAAAAAGAAAAAAAAACACTTCAAAAACTAAATAAGCTCAAGTGTATTTTGTTATGACTTTACAGATATGTCTGTAATCTGAAATATTGATTGGTTTTGTCAAAAGAAATCAAAAGTGATGTTATGATTACACATCGATTATTTATTATTGAAAGACTTAGGGTTCTATAGAAAGGCATCTGCTGCCTTTTATGACAATGTTTTGAAATTGGATCATCGTATTTTGTGAAGAGGTAAAGTTTCAGCCTGTTTGGTTGAACCTAGAAAATAACGTGTGAAATGTTTTGCCATAGAGCATTGTTACCACACCAAACTTTAGCTCAATATCTGTAAAGCTGACTGAGCTTTGGCAATTTTTAAGGTCTGAATTTGTTTGGCTCCTTAAGGTTAATCAGTAATAGATGTACATTTTGTGGTCTTTTCCTGAATGGTTTATTAAATTTTATGCCAGGGCTATTCAACTAAATTGCTCTGGGCAGAACATCCAGCAATTAAAGTCATTATGTAAATAAACATAAAAGTATTACTGTACAAAGATCTGTTACCTTTGGAATAGTTTATTTTGCTGTATTTAATCATGAATACAACATACAGAACCCTAACAAATGTAGTGATAATAAAACATCAAAAACAAAAATAACACATTATGTATGGAGGACTACATCTGCCATAACTGGAAATACATGTAGAAATAATTAAACAGCTTGATAAAAACATAAATGGCTTGATAAATTAGTAATTAAGTAATAATGTGGCAATTATTGCATAAAAACATCAACAAATAAGAGTGTAATTAATTTATTTGACTATTCATAGTGAGCTGAGCTCTGGAGCTCTGGAGCTCAGCTCACTCTGAATCCCCTCCCACCACTCCCCATCACTTCCTGTCCTCTCTGCTGCTCTCCCCTTCCCCTGCTCACTTCAGCCCCCTTTTTCAATTTACGTGACTGACTTTGTGAGTAGAGAATATAAAAGAGGAGGTGGTAAATCAGAGCTGTTAATAAAAGAATGAAGGATAAAACTGGATGGGGAAAATGTAAAGAGAAAATATTATAGGAGAAAATAAATCAGTGTAAGATAAATAAATTAATAAAATAATGCAAGATAAAAAAGTAACAGTAAATAAAATAAAATTAAATAACTGTAAAATGTGATGGTAAAATAAAAATGTAATAAATAAATACAGAATAGGGAAAATATAGACAAAATAAATAATAAAATCAAAGATACAGTATAATATTAATTTATGTTGCACTGTATAGTCAAATAAATTAATTACGCTCATATTTGTTGATGTTTTTATGCAATAATTGCCACATTATTACTTAATTACTAATTTATCAAGCCATTTATGTTTTTATCAAGCCATTTAATTATTTCTACATGCATTTCCAGTTATGACAGATGTAGTCCTCCATACATAATGCCACCTATTTAACACAACTATTATTTGACATCTCTGCCTCACCAAAATGTTATTTTTACTTTTATAATTTTATCTTCATCTGTTTGTAGTTGCTGTTGGTGATGTTTTGCTAAGTGTTGTCTCAACATACAATGGCAAAAACTTTGAACAGACTTTTGGAATCTGGTAGCTCTCAGATTATGTATTGTGAGTCACACTCAGTTACAACTAAATCAAATTTCAGATCAGTATCTGTAAAATGGACTAAATTCTTGTTTCAGATTTTTTAAGGTTGGTTGGTTACGACAGCCATTTAGAATTTGTTTGATTAGTTGCAGATGTACAGTACATCTAAAGATTTATTTCTGCAAGCATCATTACAATTCATCCATTGATTCATAAACTGTATTTTGCAAACTGACTCGCGCATATGCACATACTCTTTAACTTACATGCACAGAGACATGGACAAAAACATTATGAGCTAGATTTTGTCTTATGGCAGTGGGTGATAAAAAAAACTTGAAATGACCAATCTTTAAAAGAACTCTTTTTACTGCTAACCTTCTTCACACCATTTCACTTTCCCTTCCTTACAGGAAAAGACAACAGTGGTCTGACTGAGTCTGAATTGCCTACAAACGTTGACCCTCCCGGGATGGAAGGCAGCTACCTGAACCTAAAGGAACCCGGTGTGAAGGTTCCGAGTGAGCGCCCGGGGTCCGACCTATCCAGCCCTCTAGACAAAGGTGAGGCTGAGAGCAACAAAGGCAAGAAGAGACGCAATCGCACAACGTTCACCAGCTACCAGCTGGAAGAGCTGGAGAAAGTCTTCCAGAAGACACATTACCCAGATGTTTATGCCCGAGAGCAGCTGGCTCTGAGGACAGACCTGACAGAGGCTCGAGTTCAGGTGAGGATAAAGAACAAGTTTGTACCTGGAGCTCTCCATCTTTCTTTTAGTCTAATCTCTTTGGGGGAAGTTATGGTAATTTATGTGTCCAGAAACCACAAAAAACATAATTTTTTAGTATATCTGAACCTAAAAGGCTTTGGGACAACTTTCTTTTGTTTTACTGGAATGTGTCGTGTTTCACTGATCTCCAAACCACTGCAGTACCAACAGTTTTAACTGCATAAAAACCACACTTAATAAGC